AGTCTATGCTAAAATTCGAATTTGTTTAATAATTCAATTTGAGTGATAGTTTAGTCAAAGCAAGCAAATAATTCACGATTGTGATAAACAAAAATAAAAACATATGTATTGTATTATAAAAATGTATTTATTTTAATAATTAAAAAAAACAATCAAGACTTCCATATACAACCCCTTATTTCAGCATTGTAATTAATGAAACAATTTTTATCAACATGATACAATGTTCAAGCTAAGGTCCAATTATTAATCAGAGTATATAGTATTTAGCTTAGTAAAATTTTTCAATATCCACGGCTAACTATTAATGATTACTTGCTTTCTGTTTGAGGGTTTAATGTAACACTATCATGCCTACACTCTAAGCATTTTTTTCTTTTTTCCAATAATTTTTGCAATTATTTGTTAAATCAACTATGTTTCTAGCTTTCCATTCCTAATTATTCACTGCTTCCTACCAACTTATGGGAATGGTGAATATTTTTTTCATGTATAATCTATTGACTGTGAATGTTGCTTATTACTTAAATTCAAAGGTATCCATGTTAGGTTTGACGTCTCCAACATATTCTCACAATTTCTCGAAAAAGCATCATATCTTGCGATTGATATTATAGTTTTGTTAGGTAAAGTTAAACAAACTCAATCAATATTCGAACTCTTTGAAGTAGCTATCTACATGTGAATATGAAGTACTGAGTAGCTAAAACTCTACTTGGGTTAGTACGATATTTTGCTCTATCAATTAAAATTCAATACATGATTATCTTATTACAATTTAGTCATACTAATTGTGCAGTAGGGGACATCTTATCATAATCGTATCGAAAGACTCCTTGATTAATCAGTTTCAGGATGTAATCAATTATACCAAATAGAAGTGATCAAAGTTATATGATGCTCTCTAAGTTTGCTATACTTATTGAGGTTCAACAACACGTTAATCTAAGGTGGTCATTGGACATTTGTCTATCTCCTACCTCGCCTAGACACGCTTAGACGTTGTAATAAAAATAGTAATTTTTAATAATGATGAATGAAGTAACAGTTCTGAAGCACTTTCATACTTCAGTTCAAATGATTTAACAACAAGCAAAATAACTCTCAAGTTTATAATTTTTTATACCAAATGGTATAATTAATTCATTTATGAGCTGAAATAGCTAATTATAAGCACTTGAATTTTTAAGTTAAAACTCATATGATACAATTGTTTGACGAAATGGTTTTTATCATAGAGTGGTTCTATCGAGAGAGGTCTCTAAGAAACATGGCTTACTTTATTATTCCTTAGGTAGATATAATATATATCTTCATCGTTACTTTTACAATGGATTCAACTTAGTATACTTTTTCGTTTAGATAGATTTTTTAAATAATTTTTTGGGATATAATATATCACTAGATAATTGGCCCGCGCTTTGCGACGGGTAAGCACGACCATCAATTAAATTATATTAGATCGAATGAGACTACATATGACCATTTGATTAGAGTGGATTAGACATTTTTATAAATTGAGTTGGTTCCAATTACTAAATTGAGATTTTATTTTAATTGTATCATGAATTCTCTTAAAAGCAAAGAAAAAAAGTTAATCATCTCAAACCGTATGATCATATCGTTACCATTATGTGGTTGGTTGAGGTAAGGATATAGATTTTTTTAAAAGGATTTAACTTCCATGTACTTCACTTGATACTAACTAAAAAAAGCTGTATATATGATCAGTGGTATATAAAAGCATTTGAAAGGGAAAAGATGCATATGAAAGCCAGCAACACCTACTTAGTTGGCTACTTATCTAGAGTTCATAAACGAATTCAATAAGATATGAAATCATAGAAGAGCAAAGTACTTCACGCTCGTCAACCGTTTACGCTTCTAATCACCACCCACTACATCTTTCTTTAACCATCCCTGTGTTTCATATGATTCTTCTATGAAAATGGTGCAGCACTGAATATACATTGAGTGGGTGAGAGGTTACTTGAGGAGAAGTCAAAGAAGATGCGGACAGTGCGAGAGTTATCGGTCCAGTTCGATTCAATCGTCACTTGTCCGCAACCTGCTCCCTCCAGTGGCGGATCCAGGATATAGTAGAGTACTGGGCCGCATTTCATTAGAAAATTAGAAACTGTACAAAAAATAACAACCGTAGTTTTTTTACAAGTCAATTGTACACGACAGTTTCAAATTTAGTGAATTCATCAATAATGGAGTCTATATCCATACTAATAATACACTCTCTTTCAAATAAAATAGTTAAGCAACCGGCAAAATATTCATCTCTCAATTGTTTCAAAAATTAGTTTTCTCATGTTTCATTGTTGAAAATGTTCTCTCCATAGTAGACTAGTAGTTGTTGAAACGGGCAACATCAACACTAGACAAATCAATCAACTAATCAATTTATATTGTGTGTCCATCACTATTTCCACTAGCCGCTCTAGTAATTTTTTAAAGGAACAAACTCGATATTTCTTTTAGTCTTTGACATTTTAAACTTTTAGAATTTTAGGTTTCGATATTTTTTTTACCAAAATCATTGAGGATAGAATTTCTAGGCCAAATTTAGAGTAGTGATTTGAATATATTCATCTAAACCATTTTTCTAGTTACACACAATCTTATAATTATAAAATACACTAGGCCGAATATCTAAAATCGAAAAATTTATAAGGGCTATACTAACTTCGAATCCAGAGGAGGGCTGGGCCGTGGCCCGGGGTGGCCACCCCCTGCATCCGCCACTGGCTCCCTCGATGTTAGATCTTACCAGTAGGGATAGCTTTATATTCATAATCGGGAACCTTGACTCTCGGCACCCAGAAAAGCAAGCTTTGTTCGTAATCAAGATCATCTCCATTCTAGCTGCCATTGACGGGAAAGAACAGAGAAAGAAGGAAACTTGGCTAATCGCCAGGACAGGGGAAGAGCGTCGGGAAATTGGGAAGAGGTCGCAGGGAATAACAGAGGGGAAAACCGAAACGGAAAAGCGAACGAAAGAAAACGGGGACCAGACGGGAAAAGAGGTGTACAGACATACGGTAGACCTGACCGTATCCCACTGGACCCCTAATGCAAAACAGGCGCTATTTATATATTAATTATTGTATGATGGTGTAGGATATTAGTTCCTCTCATTTTAGGTTCAAATTGATGCATTTTCCCCTTTATCGTTCCCTTTTATCAGTTAATAATTTTTATGATATTTTTCACTATGAAATATCGTGAGCAGAATCTATACACAACAATTTGTGTTTTTTTCGCTTCCTCTTCTCTTGATTAGATATTGTGTCCATATTGATTTTTATATTGATTATTGAATTACTACTTTTTTGTTCTGAAGTTTATGAAACTAAGATGCATTTTTTTTAGAAACATGAAATTAAGATGCATATTAATAAAGAATGTAAGGTGTCATCTTCCCTCTTAAGGCTTAAGCACTACATATCATTGTTTACCTAATGTTAAATCAAAGTCTTTCTAACTTGAGTACGAGCTACAATGACTTTTATTGTTGTCGATTTTTCCCAAAATATAAGGTATGTTGCTTTTAGTTTTCTCATTCTTTTCAGTTTGATTTAGCTTTTTATGTGTTGCTCTATTAATTGAACTTGTCAGTTGGAGATCTGCATGCTTCGACTACATTAATGCTTCTCTAATAATCCGCACGTCATAATTAACCATCTTAATAAATTGTATTAATGTAGATATTAGTAGGTTAAATTAATTTATATAATCAACCATGGTTGGATACTAAAAATTTGTGAATTAACAATAAGATTTTGAGTTCATTGTTCATTATTAGTACTGCTATTTTTTGTGGTGCTCTAAATCAAGAGTTTGCCATTGCACCTCTAATAAGGGGCTAGCTCCGCCCCTGCGGCCACGTGAAAATAATCCCCCAATCAACAGTAACCATTAAGTAATTGGCGGAAATTTTGTAATGAACAGTGCCAAATCTTGTGCTTTTAATTAATTGATAATCAATACTAACACAAATACCAGTAACTATTATTACTTCAAGTACACATATGGTTGTGGAATCTGATTGGCACATGCACAAAACTTAGATCTAATCGAGCAACCCATATATGAAGGAAAGCTCCAAATTTTAGATCATCCTAGCTTGATAGGGAAATAATTGATGCAGCAGGTCAGTTTGTTTTCTTTTGCCCTCTTCATATTTCAGTGAAAGCAAGTTGTTAGCCTGAAGGTTTCTTTTTTCCTTCTTTCTGGTAAACAAAAGTTGGTGGAAGTTAATTAACCACACCGACACTTTCCATTTTGGAAAATTTGTCGATTTACCTCTGTTTTTCAATATGTTCAGAATTCACAACTTGATCACTCTGTTTTTTTCACGTTAAAAAGGGACATAAAGGGCAATAAGCAAGAGTAATGGCAAGTTATTATCTGGACGGACAAATAATCTACTACAAAGTTGGTACGATTGTAATAAGAGTGAGTAATTCGAAAATCCTATTTAAGTTGTTATATGATTGTAATAAGAGTGAATAATTGACACTTTGTTGCAATCTACATGAGTTTCAGATGTGTGTAGTCGGTTGGTAGATGGGCGCACGAAATTAAATGGTGCGTTTAAGTATCATCGAAGCATAACATATGCATTCATGTAATAATCCAAGTCAATGGAGTCAAAATCGCGCTATAAATTTTAAAACTTACGTTTTTACGCTTCTATGTTACCAAACCGCTTCTACACGTACAATCTCAGTTTTTATAAATAATATAGTTTAAAATTGCGTTTTAAAGCTTCAAAATGCTTCTACTTAGAAACGGACTTTTGACTATATTGATTGAAGTGAGACAAGTAATTCGATATTTAATTCACTGAAAACTGAATTCGACAATATGAGTGTGCAATTCAAAGCATGTCGCAATAAAGATCGCATTTCAGTTAATTTATCACGCATACCACAAAATATCCGATCTACATTTATATCGATCAAACACTAACTTTGCAGTGGGTATTGATGGCTGTGAATTCTGATAGCCTCCATTAATATACACTTGGATTAATAGCTTAAGAAAAGTGTACAAAATAAAGCTTATTTATAATTCCTTTAATAATAATAAAAAAAGCTCTTGTCCCTTTCTTGTCTCACCAATTATCAACGTACAATTAGGACAGGCTCCTTTTCTTTTCTTCCCTCCAATTTTGTACTATTTTGATTTTCACGTAGTAACATCTTTCATTGTCACCAAAACCCAAAATCAATTAGTAGTTCTAATTTCTAACCAAATCAACCCTGCCACTCTGTTTCAGGGACATTCTTTTCTTTTCTTTTCTTTCCAATCAGCAGGATGAACCTTTCTTGCACTTCAGCGAGCCAGCACCGGCCGTGATGGAAGCCACCAGATTCGACGGCCTAGCCGCCAAGCTCGACGCCCTCGCGTAGCTCGAAGAAGCTCCGGCGCCGGACCTCGTGAAGAAAGCGCCGTTCAGATACAGATCCCCCTGCGATCTCCAGTTCCACTTCTTCCACTCGCTCTCCGATGCAACCTCTCGCTTTGTCACCTGTGGATCGAAAGCGAATTCGAGCGCAATAACAAATTCATCTCAATTAATCCGGCTCGTCAAATAACCGTTATTCACCTGCTCTTGTGTGGTATGCTATTGACTTATGCACGTATGATTTGATTGGAAGAAGTATAGTACCTCTTTGTTGAACCGGTCATCCGGAGCCAGAAACCGGTTCCCTTGGCTATTGATCGTGGGAGCAGCACTCCCTCCGATGGCATACATTTGCCAGTGCGTGTAGTCATTGTTCACGACATGGAAGTACCCGTGCCTACACCTCGGCATCCTCTGCACCAGCCCTTCACCGAAATGATTGAACGCGATCGTGACCTGCATCGACCGGTCACGAGTGAACCCGTCGTTGTGCCCTAACAACATCACCTTATTATGATGTGTCATGTAATTGTTTGAAATCGTGATGGCGGTCGAACCGTGGATCGCATCGATCAACCCGTCCGCGCAATTTGACAGCGAGCAGTGGTCGACCCAGACATGGCTCCCTCCGAAAATCGAAACCCCATCCCCATCCGAAACGGTCCTCCACCCGAAATGTTCGGGTGAATCTCGAACGTACAGGTTGCCTCCCTTCTTACAGTCGTGGATGTTGATCCCGTGGATGATAACATTCGTCACATACTGGATCGTGATGCAGGGGCCTCCTGCTATGTGCACGGAGCTGCCCCTGCCGTCGATCGTCTTGAACGAGTTCATCATCAGCTCGGCTTTGAGCTTGATGACCATGTCGCGGGCGAACACGATCCAGAGCGGCTCGTTCTGGATCGCGGCGTAACGCAGGGTGCCCGGTTTGGGTTTGACCGGGTGGTCGCCCGGGTCGGTCACGGTGTAGTACTTGCCGTCCCGACCGCCGATGGCTTGCTTGCCGAACCCGATTGCGCAGTCGGCGAGGCGCTTGCGGTTCTTGTGCCACTTCGGGTCGCATCGCCAGCAGTCGTCGATCGGGTTCCCTGTTTTGCAGGACAGGAATCCCAAGCTCCTTCTTCCATCCGTCGCATTTCTTATGCTCCTGTTAAAAAAAAAACAGAGGAATTATGTTACAAATTAAATCTTGGGGGCCAAGAAGGATGATGAACACTGAACAGAGTATGAAGAAACAGGGGAAGTTTACCTGTCTACTTCCTCTGCAACTGATTCAGGGTCTGAAACAGGGGAAGTGGAAATGTGGGTTGGGAATTGGAGGAGAGCTAAGAGGAGAAGAAGGGAGAGTTTGATTGCCATTTGGGTTTGAGAGAGAGAGAGAGAAGTGTGTTGGAGGGAATGTGTTAAGGAAGAAAGAGATGTGTGGAGTGAGTTTTATAGGGGAGGATGAAGAAGGATGATCCAGAGAGCGAGTTGTTTTCAATTAAGGGGAATGTTGATCTTAGAGAAGTGGACTCATCATTATTATGACCCAATCATTACTCCTTAATTATTATAATGATAATGATGTTAGTTTAGTCTAAGAGGCCAAGCATAATAAAAGGTGAAAGACTTTTTATTCCTTAATAATATTTTACTCTAGAGTTCGGACAATATCATGCTAAAAAAGAACATTAACAAAATAAAAGGCATATGACTAATCAGATCCACAATCATATTTTTGTCTACCTTTAGTTTTCCCCCTAGAGTTCGGACAACACATATGGTTGAGGAATCTGATTGGTACATGTGAAAAATCTGATCTAGGTCCAGCAAAACCCTATATATCAATGAATGAAGGAGGAATGCTCCAAAACTGTGTAAGTTAATCATAAGATAGCTTGTCTTTCATGTGATGGGAAACTTATTTACAGGCAATGATGTCCAGAACATGTTTCCCCCCCTCCTGATGCTGTGAAAAACAGTTGGAGAATTCTTTGTGGTAAAACAGAAGTTGGTGAAACTTTATTAACTACACCGACACTTTTGTTACTAAAAACCTGTCGGCGTCCCGCTGGAAACCAATTTCCACACAATGTTGTACAAACGCTAACTAGTAAAAGTAATATCGAAAGACAATGGCTTGGATAATTGGATATGAATCTGTCCCAAAAGTAAAATTACACATACTTAATTTGGCCATGAAAATATCGAATCTTTTAGTCTCTCTAATCAAAACTCTCAATACCGTGGTAATCTAATAGTATACGGTATATATTATTCTGGTGATTAGCAAAGATCATCTGATGCAAATTTGAGCAGATCAGATTTTTCACTCAAATGTTAGCATCTAGTGTATAAGATTAAGAGCGATTTCCCCAGATTACTTGAAGCAAGGTATACTCATGAATTACACCAATAGTGACCATATATGTATGGTGTTGAATGTATGTGTAATTCAGTCGACCTATTGGATCAGATTGAGACAAACTGCTATGGATGCGCATTAAAGAACCTTGCTCTGTTCTTTCCCCCGATCCTCATCAGACACAGACATTGAATGCAATGCTGCCATCTTAATGATATGTGTCTGCAAAAACTCAGAGAGTGTGTGTGACAGAGAGAGAGTCAGAAGAGCAATGGCATTTAGTTGGAAGCCGTCGACACAGGTAGTTGAACTTGAACAGTGCAGTCTTTACTCTTTACCCGCACAATGAGGCTCTCTTCGATCGTGTTAGTTGGAAAGGGGTAATACATATATTTGATTGATAACACAGTTGTATTAAAAAAAAAAAAAATACACATGTACTTGTGTTGACTTTCTGAGCATTTGCTATATGTTTTTCCATGCATCAGACATTAACAAAAGGGATCGAGCATATTTTATTTTCTATGCATAATTACGTGTTCAATTCAGGTTTTAAACGGGAAGGATCAGAGCTTTCTGTAGTCGAGAGGTCTTCTGATTAAATTTTCACGATTCTCATTTGTTAAGCACATGGTATTTAGACTTGTGCAAATTTCAAGTCCTTATGATTAATGACTTTTGTTTGAAAGGACGTGTTAGTATGCCCTATAAAATTCATGATTGTACCTCTCACAATAACCCAAATTACTAGGAACAACTAACTCTTGACAGAGCCCACCCTAAAATTCTTAACCCGCCTTTCCCCACGTCCCAAGAACCCTTCGAAATTTTTGCCCCAAACTTTGGCCCGCACGGGACTGATCAAAGCGTATAATTGGCTCGAAATGTTTGCTAAGGTTAGTAGCTCTCAAGAAATGCTTACATTATCAATGTCACACATTAAATTAGAAGATAATTGAACATTCCTCCTGTAAAATAATTAATGGGAGAATCACACCATCACATGTACAGCATGTGGGCGTTTCAGAACTGAATTCTATGGCTAGTTTTCATTTAATAAGATGCTAGGGAAGGAAAACAGCAGTTGGTTTGCAGGGCAAGTTATCCTTTTTTTTTTCTTCTTCTTTTTCTTTTCTTCTTTGTCGTCCCTCCTTCTGACATTCTGAAAGGTCGCAGAGATATGAGATAAGTGCGTTCAAAATAGTTATAATTAACAACGGCCATGATTCATGGGCACATGCATGTTCTGAGCCTTGCAAATTAATGACCACCTGCATTGGATCGAGGAAATGAGCAACCGATTCTTGCAAGGAGAGTTCGAGGGGAAGAAGAGAATTCATAAATTAATTGGAGTTAGATGCTCTTCTGGAAATCAATTAGTAGCTCAAAATGGTTAGCCCTTTCTAAAACAGTTTTTAGTTTTATTGATTGATGAAGTCGTCTGAGATTAGGAGTCTTTTCATTTTGGGACGAAGTCATGTGAATGCTTTCAACTCTAAATTAAGTTACTAGTGCTGGTTATGCTTTCATGAAAACTAATAAGGGTAGGGATGGAATCCGGTCGGTGATTGACAGTGTATATTCATTATTTTGCTCAAAATAGTTTGTGTTCTACCTATACTCATATAAGAATTGAGTCAAATATCAATACCTATTCATACTCGATTGGGTTTCGGGTATCCACAGTTATTCATGAATAGTAATTTCTCTTTGTAACTTCAACAAACAATTTAGCAGGTACACGGATACTGACATTACATAAGTGAAAACTTACAAAAATGAATTACAGGAACGAAGAAAATTAGTTGAAAGCAACACATTTTGATTGAAAAAAATATATATGTATGATAAATATAAAATATGTTGAAAAAAATAATGATCATTTTCAAAAACAAAATACATATTCATTTATAATTCGGCGAGTTTGGGTTGAATAGTGAGAAAATCATGCTCACCTACCACCCGCAATATATTCGAGGCCGGGTTTTACCATACCCATTAAAAATCCTTTGGATTTGAGTTTTATCCTACCCGATTAGGTCGGATTCGGGTTCTACCCTACCTGATTAGGTCATATTCGGGCGGGTATCCACGAAATATGGTTAATTTTATCATCTCTAATTTAGATGTATGTATTTGTAATTATATAATTGTTTCACTCAATGTCCCTTGTATTAATTGGACTTTAATTACGTTAAGCCATCAATCAAGTTATTAGTTCCTTGGTTTTAGCTAGTTAGCCTGTTAGCAAAGTCAACCTAATTGGATTTCCTAGCTATTTGTGGGGCTGTGAATATGAGCATGGATTGTGTAAATTAAATGCCAAGGTTTGTGGAAACGTATGGGAAAATTCAGTGGTAGGGTATTTTGTAATAAAAATGTAATTTAATCGTAATTCAATCATTTCCTATCACTAAAATTGCCTATCATTTTGGGTTCGGTATCCGGTATTTCCGATCTAACCGGCTAGTACGGAGGGTTTCCTAAACATTGGTAAATGCTCGTTGATTTTTCCTAAGCTAATATATATTAGAGATGACAAACCACTCGTTTATAAACACTTCTTATCATGATAAGTTATCAACCATTTTCTATCATCTAAGAACACCATACCAATGTTTATCCAAACATATATATGCACCTTTAAATATAAGAAGGTGATTGTTTACTAAAACCACTTGTACCTAATTCATAATGCGGGTAAGTTGTGAATAAATCGTGGCCTGGTGGAAGCAAGCCGTACTACGATCCTTGTGAACTGGTCCTTTTATAATTTGCTAATGACATGTTCTCACATGTGAGTTTTGTTCCCATGGCGGCACCCACATGAGATTGAGAATTTCCCCCAAGCAAAGTCAAGTTTAGATCATGACCATTGAATTCACTTACTTACAATAATGTTGACCAAGTGACCAAAATATTAAGGCAGCTGGGGGTCCCCATGTGTTCTCTTGTATGTTTTGATTGAAGATGGGGAAGGTACAAGTGGTTGATGTCATCAATTACGATTTTGATCATTGGGGGTTTTCCGGATTTAAGAGTTGACATCATATCGTGTTAGCTAGCGATGGCAATGAGACGAGCCGGGTGGGTACCTTAATATAGATAAATGGGTTATTTTTCTCAATCTTCAATAGTTACGGTATAGTTTCAAAATTTTCTTTTACGAGATGTTTTGTAGGGTTTTGATTTGTGCACGGGATTGGGGATGACAATCACATATTGATTTTATCTAAGTTGTCTCGAGTGAATCCATCACAATAAATCTTATTTTTGTCATGTGATGATCGTTTTTCATCCCATCTATCTTAATTTTTGCTAATATTTACTCTTATATATGCTCCTTTGACTCTTCTATTAATAGTATAGTTAGGACTCAATGTTATCCTAAACCTATCCAATAATTTATTCTCAAGTGTCAAGGGTTCTTGACTCGCTAAAACTACCACTCCAATCAATAGCCAAATCGAGGATCACTAGGTCTACTATTACACGGTGAATATATGTTATATAGTAAAGCAAGTTGAGAATTTGGATTAATTGATGTCTAAGAAAGCAAGGAAAGTTTATTAAGGTTCAAGTATGAAAAAGATCACTTGGGTATGTTAATTACTCCCTCTTCCTAGTTCATTTCATTCAATGTTTATACTGCGAAGATCTCGGTTTAACCTTGAATCTAGATTAAAGTAGACAAGGTCTTGAATATATTGCTCGCCATGACATTGTCCTCACGATAACAGAATACCAAACAATGCAAATGAGAATCCCTCCACTGGAACAAAATCCAATACAAAGTAGTGAATCGATTCACTACTTCCAACTGATGATGCTCCCTTAATCTATTAAGGTATTCTATCTTAGGTTAAAGCAGGAATCATAGGAATTTGATCAAGATTCATACAAGTGAAAAATGCATTTATTGGATATAGAACTTCGAGTTCCACGAACAAGGGTTCAAACAAACATCAACCCTAACATATAAAATTAGGGTTCTTCATACACAAATGAGCGAGAGATTTACTCCATAGAGAGAGGGAAACAGTTGGGGAAGAAGTCATCATCGTGTAAAGAGTGAGATCTGCTCCGTAATATTGATCTTCACTCCATGGGATAAATCTTGATCTCCAAAGGCAACGAGATCAAGGAAATCGACTCCAAGGGTGCTCTCTTCGTCACTTTTTATCTCTAGGGCTCTTCTAAGCTCGTTTTCAGATGTGAGAACTGAGAACTCCTATCCCTTGAGTAAACTCATCTAACTTCTTTCATAGTTGACAGTGCACGAGTCAAGGCCCCAAGTCACGGTCGTGACCTAGAACCAAAATGGCAATGTGTCTATAAGTTGACAGGGAATATCATGATCTAGTTGTGCATGTCACGGTAGTAACCGTGGCATGAAACGGTCGGCCGTGACATGAAATTTGCTTCTGGAACTATACTTCATGCCACGGTCCAGACCATGACCTCTGCCTCATGGTCGTGAACTTTGACATTTGACCATCTTGGTCTCATTTTCTCTCTCCAAATGCCACGAAACTCGCTTTCAGTGGCGGATCTAGGTCCAACCTGGGCTACAACCCAACCCTCCTCTAGATTTAGAACTAGTATACTCATTATAATTTTTTTGATTTAGGTATTCGGCCCAGTACTATTTAGAATTCGGTCCAATTTTATTTAATAATAGAATTTTGTGTAACTAGGAAAATGGTCCATATGAACATATCCAAACCACTAATCTAAATTTAGACTAAAAAGTCTAGCCTCAATTATTTTTATTTGAAAAAAAGACATTAAAACCTATAAGTTTAGAAAGTATAGTTTCATTTTAAATAAAAATAAAAAACCTTTATACTATAGCGCATCGTTCCTTGCAAAACTCAAAAAAATTTCCTAATCCACACAAAACAAAACAAGAACGAGGAGACGAACGGACCTGAAATGATCTTTCGCTCGTTTGTCGGGCGCTGGTTTCTTTCCAGTCTTTTGTTTAAGAATATATTTACAAACTTGCTGAGTCATCATTTAGATCGCCTCAGTTGAGTGGTGCACTAGATCCTACCCATTCTTTCTGGTCTTTTGATGAAGAAAATATTTACAAAATTGCTCAAGAGTAGCCTCGAGACTTTGAAGGCTATGAGATGCATTATTTGGAGAATGAGTTACGATATTATGCAACTCATGTGAGGAAGATGAATTTTCTTCTCTTGTAAAACTACTAAAGAAGTTGGAGGAAACTGGGATGGACACACAAGACAAATTGATTTGTCGGTTGATTCATATAGTGTTGACCTTACTCGTTTCAACAGCTACCATGGAGAGAACATTTTCAGCAATGGAACACGTGAAAACGGATTTGTGCTACAAAATGAACGATGAATTTCTCATTGATTGCTTGGCTATTTTCTTTGAGAGAAAGTATGTTATTGGTATGGATGGAGATCTATTATTGATGAATTTGCTAAATTAAAATACATTATTTGCACAATTGGCATTGTAATGACTAACGAAAACTATAATTATTATATATTTTTGTTTACGGTATCTAATATTTCATTCAAATGCGGCTTAGTGCTCTACTATGTCGTGGATCCGTCGTTGTCCGCTTCTAAGCCATATTCATGTACTAGGACTTGAAGTATGACAAAAAAACACAACCTAGCGTAAAATATACCAGGAAAATGATCTGAGAATACTAATACGAAGGTAAAATATACCAGGAACTACTAATACCAAGGTAAATGATCTGAGAATCCAAAACATATATAAATATGCACTTATCGGAGCATAGTTAAGTTATCTAAACAGTTCTTATAATGATAAGTTATCAAACATTTTATATCATGTTAACTAAGTCCAAACGACGTTTTGCATAAATCGTGGCCTGGTGGAAGCAGCCGTACTACGATCCGTGTGAACTGGTCCTTCTATAATTTTGGGGGCCTCAGTCCAAACTTAATTTGCCAATGGCATGTTACCATCGAATATGGTGACCCAAAGTATTAAGGCAGCTGGGATCTCCATGTGTTTTCTTTATGATTGAAGAGGGAGAAGGTACAGGTAGACGGTAGTTGATGCCATCAATTACGATCTTGATCCATTTGGGATTGGAGTTTTGAGTGTTTAAGTTGACACCATATCATGTTAGCTAGTTGTAACTTGTAACACTATATATAGGATTTTCACGATTGATGATTAACCATTGAGCAAAATAGGTGAAGGGTCCTTCTCTCAATCTTCAATAGTTGCAGTATAGTTTCGATTTCCTTTTATGAAATTTCTTACGAGATGCATGTAAAGAAATACTAAAAATGGAACAAGTTTCTCCTTCGTCGCTCGAATGTTGAGAGCGGGAAAGTAACTCTAACATTTATTTGAATGGATTGAATTGGTGGATCAAATGGATTGGATCCAATGGATTGGTGGATTCATGGATTGGATCAAGTGGAGTGGTGGATTATCCATGCATCCAAATGACATCCTCAACCAAGAACCAATATGTAAAATGTGAAAAGTTTAAGTACTAAAGTGTCATAATAAAATTTTTAGGTACCAAAACTTAATTTTCCAATGATATTTTCGTGTAAAACTTAAATTTTGGTAGCAAAATGTAAGATATACAAAGTATAAGTACCAAACCATAATTTGTCATTTGGATCCATGAATCCACCAATCCAATTGGATTTAGATCAAATGGATTGGATTTAAATGGATAAGATTAAGTGGATATTTTTAATGGGTTGGTAGATTGGATTGAGAATTGCCACCTCCAATAATTAATCCATCTTGATCGCAAGATGTTTTATAGGATTTTGATGAGATGCCATTTACATCTTGACTCACTCAATCTAAGGTGTCTCGAGTGATTCCATCATAATGAGTCATGCTTTTGTCATGTCATTATTGTTTTTACCCCTTCGAAGATGGTAATTGACTAATTCTAGTGCTTATGCAATTTTGCCATACAAAAATTAAAGAGTGATACTAGAAACATTTCTACATTCTCGGTTATCTACATAAAAACTTGAACTATTTATGCATCAAATTTAATGGACCACGAAATTCCAAAGTAAATATCCATTATGATCATGAAAACTTTTAAAAAAATTCAAAATTTAGCACACACAATTATGTTGCTTGGTCACAAGCAACTACAACTGTTAGTGAGAAAAATAAGAACATGCCGCCATACATATTCTCGTCGTTGATCTAGCAATTATAGAGCAGATCGCGATCTTTCAACCATCGAATCGATGGCTGAGAAGGCCGCCCCATATTCGCTAACACGCCACAGCTCGCAAGGATTGTGAAAAGATTAGCCAAAAATGAATAGCTCCTACTAAAGGAAAATATCAATTTTATACCAAAAAAAAAAAAGGAAAATATGAAAATTGTGAAAAGAAAATGGAAAAGGTTGGAAGGCTTTCTCGGCAAGTTGAAGGAGAGGCTCCAGTCCGAGATTAACTACACATTCACGTTCAGCCCACAATCTGGCTATCTGGCCCACTGGAGTTTATATTGAACTCACCAAGCTTCAGCCCAACAAGATTATCAGTTGCCAACCATGACTGAGAGATTAGGGGTGGAAGTTTGGTACCAGTATTTGGAATATACCGAATACCGTATCGAATTTGTCTATATTTGGTATTACTGAATATATGTATTGTTTTTTGGGATTGAGATTGGGATTGAATTTCAATTGTAATTCGGTATTAGAAATTACTGGATTGGGATTGGTATATACCGAAATACCGATCAATACAGAAATATAAGCTAGTGTGTATTTTATCCTCACCACTAGACTCTCTCATTCACTAACTACGCGACCCTCAACCACCAAGAGTGTCATTTAATTTTACATAGATCATTTCATCTTTGTTTCACAACTCAAAAGTCTCCATCCAACTCAATGTTGACTTTCCAATTTAAGTCACTCTCACCTCTCACCTAATAACTTGTTATTTTCATAACACCAAAAAGCAAACACTAGTATTAGTCGTCTCTTAGCCTTCAATTCATCAAAGTAAAGATGACCAATGACAAGAACTTAAGATGTCACCTCTCTTTCATTCTTCTTATTCATATCTTAGCTCTAGGCAAACTCAAGACTCTTTGCTTAGTCTTTTTGCCCTAAATTAAATAATAAAACCTAATTTTTATATTTTATTATTTATTTCAAATGTAATTTATTTCGTATTCGATAATACCGATTGGGATACCGAAGTACCGATTGGGATACCGGAATAATTTGGGATTGGAATTGGGATACCGAAATTATTTAGGAATTGAGATTGACTTTCTGACATAATTCGGTATTCAGTATTTCGGTATTGGGATACCGATGCTGTACCGATTTCCACCCCTAAATGAGATTATCCATATTTTATTGCCTACGAATATTCTCAAAGCACAACTGGCCTGGAACTCAATTTAATCAAAGCTTTATTCAACTAAGTAACTTCTAATAAGTATCTTTTAGCCCCACAGAAGAATGTTGCCCTGTATCATTCCATTCACGATTAAGAAGTAAGAACACGTATTAAAACTCTCAACAGTCTACCAAAACCGGACAAGAATTCCTGCCGAGATCTCTCATTTTGTGGCCGATACATTTTCTACCTATACAACGGAATTTGGCTTCACAATTCCTGCTATAGTTCCTGGAACCAACCCGAATATCAATTATCCCAGTGCTCAACCTTGTATCTGCAGCGTACTTCGCCAGTTCACAAGCTACAGTTTCGGTGTAGAGATAGACGGCAGAGTGACCAGCATGGCCCTAGCTGGTGGTAATATATGACAATGCCGTCAATCTTGCAGAAGCAAGTGGCATGATAATCACTCTTTTCTCTATTCTTCTTCAGAACTTCTCTTGCTTGGACTTGTAGTAACCTTGCCGTGTGATTTGATTGTGTCCTGAATTTAGAAAACACGATTCGATGTTGAGTACACACGCAAGAAAAGGGAATGAGTCGAAGATTGATATGCTTTTGGATCAATATGGTTACGATTGATTACCTGCTCTTCTTCCTGTCTGCTAAGATTGCCATTAGCAGAAGCTAAATCATGCTCTGCATCAACTAGACCAGCTGGATCTTCATCTTTCTTCACTTCCTGGCTCGGCAAACCACCATTTACAGCAGCAACAGTCGAGGGATGATCAAGATTTTCAGCACCACTTGTTGTTGTCCCGTTTTGGGTTGCATCTTCTCCTAGGACCTTCTCTTTCCCAGCCATTTGACTAGCTTCAAGGGACGCTTCTTCAGCTATCCGCTTCTCTTCCTCTCTTTGTTTCTTTCTCCTAGCTTCCTCCTCTTTTAATTGCCTAAATCTGGGAAGAAAGACAAAACAGATTTTAGACAACATTCGCCCAACTCAATAAACTACGGAGGACACTGGAAAAACTGACCTTTCACCAGGACGTGGTCCTTCCGGTTTCTTCTCTTCCTTTGTGGTTGTGGCTTTAGTGGGGGTAAGCTCAGCTGTGGCTTTCATGGAGTTGACATCCAATGGAGGCTTCTCAGTCTGGACCTCGATTCTCTTTATCAAATCATCATTCAGTTGCTTCACAGGATTTTTGGCGCCCCCTAACTTTTGAAGCCAAACCGTTTGTAATGTGCTCAATATGTTATTTGTAAACCTGCCAATCACGGAAAAAGAAAGAAACAAGAACACCCAAGTTGAACATTTTGTAAGAAACTTATCAAACAAAATATTGAATCTGATTATGTGACACCGGAAGTATGAAAAGGCCAGGATCCGCTCACCAATAGAGGCTTAAACCGGAAGGAACCGAGAGCGAGAAATAGCCAATCATCAAAGGAAGCAGTTTGGTAACTACTTGAGAACTCTTCGCATTTGGGTCATTATTACTCTGTTAAGTGATGAAGCACCAGTGTTAAGATTGATACAAAAAGTTTGATTCATGTTAACCTAATTCCTCAAGCTGTTATTATCATATAAAAAAGCACAACGGACCTGTGATGATTGCATGATTTCTATGGAAATGTATTGAGTAGCAATCAGCAACAAAGGCAAGACGAGGTAAGCTAAGGTGTCCGGCCACCCGAGGGGTGGATGTCCATCCTGTGCAGATAAAATCCAAACAAAGCCAAATTTACTTTCTAATGATGAATTAGCTGCTTTTTCATCTCTTTTCATGTCAGGGAAAAAAAGCAAACTCACGACAAAAGGGAAAAGCCAAGAGATGCCACTGCCACTTTGCCGAGCTGCAATCGAAGTTGGACCAGAGAGGGTAGGTATCCAAAAGAACCCTTCAGTCAGCAGTCCCTTAAGTGTGTGAGAAAAGAAAAACAGTCATCCAAAGTCAGAACTAAAAATAGCCAAAATCTGAATCACGAGATGCAATGAAACTCGTGACAGTCATCCTACCTCATCTGCAACATTTGAAAGGGCTCTGTACAGTCCAATCCATATGGGAATTGTTACCAGAGTAGGCAAGCATCCTAACAGTAAAGAGTCGCTTAAAAGACTAAGTCAGCAGTGAAGAATCAAAATAAGCCTCCACCAGAGCTATGTATGAAGTGCAAAATGCAATATAAGCTTCCACCAGTTATTGCAAAATTGCAAATACTGAGAAAGAAACATAAAAACTAGTACAGTAAACAGTCACTTAAAAGACTAAGTCTACAGTGAAGAATCAAAACAGGCCTCCACTAGAGCTATGAAGTACAAAATGGAATCTAAGCCTCCACCAGTTATTGCAGAATTGCATATATTGAGAAAGAAATATCAAAACAAGTTCCAATGAAAAGATATCATAACCCGTTAATGCATCATCTGCCTACTTTGAAAGCGAAAGTGGCAACTAATACGCAGACATTGACCTCGTGATGAAAGTACAAAATGGGTAGTAGTAGTCAATCACAAACAAGCAATTCAACAGCACGGTAAATGGGTCAACTCCCAATCAAACTCTATATCGTCTGAAATACCTGCAAGAGGGTTTACTCCAGCAAGCTTATACAATCTCGCAGTTTCAAGCTGGATCTTCTCCTGCAGCAAACAATATAGAAATATAGTCAACGAAGAGCAGACCAAGTGTCCAAAAATCAACAAGATATCAAGCATTTGAACTTAACTTAATCCAATTTCATTATAAGAGCAGCATCCACTTTACCTGATCTCCAGCATACCTCTCCTGAACAGCCTTCACTTGTGGCTGCAATGACCTCATAGCCATACCAGATTCCACCTAGAAACACAAATGACTACATACAGTCAACAAAGAAAGTTCTAATTCTAGCACAACACTTAATCAACCTGATTAAACGAAAAGGGTAACTCCAAACTCACAAACCTGCTTCCTAGTCAAAGGGAAAGTGGCAGCCTTGACAAGAATGGTCAAGAGTATGATAGCAAAACCATAGGAATAAGGAACGTGCAAAGCCGATAACACATCCTTCAAAACCTAGAAAACCCAGATAGATTCCAATTAGCCACAGAAATTCAAACATTCCATACCCTAAAAACAAACCAATTCCTCAAATTCCTTCAAAGCTCCCACCTTAAGAACACTTTCCAAGTAACCCGTAATCCCAGAAAGCCAATCGCTATTCTGCTTAGCAGCCGTAGTAGTCGAATCGACGGCGTCAAGATTCGCCGTCACGGCGGCGTCAGCAATCGTGTAGATGACGCTCTCGACTTTGTCGAACAGATGTCGGACCACGCTCTCGTCCGGGTCGGGGAACAAACCCGGCCTGAACCCGAACCGAGCCACGCAGAGGGAACCGGCGCGGAGGAAGGTCTTGTGGCTGGACAAACCGGTGGTGGGAGGGAAGTAAGAGCGGTGAATTAGAGGGTTGGAGGGGCCGGCCGGTCTGGTCCGGTCTGTGAAGGGAGGGAGAACAACGTGGGGAAGTACCGAAGGAAGGGAGGCCGCCATTAAAGCCTTGAATTGAAGCTCGAATACAGAAAAAACTTGAAACTTTCGCAGGATTGCTCGAAGTAGTTCAGCACACTTCTTCTTTCTGGGGTTGGGGAAGAATACCCAACGGAAGCAGCGAAGAACAGAGGACAAAGATTTGATTTTTTTACGTCCCACTTTCCACTTCTGTGCGAGAGAAGAGAAATTGAAAGAAAGGGGAGAATTTCAGAGGAAAGGAGAAATCTAGGAGAAATGAAATATATGATATAAATATCTTGATTTTTTTTCTTCTTCTATTAACTATCTTCACGTGCTAATATTTTCAAATAAAGTTTAAACCTTTAAGCACTTCTAGGTATAATTAACTGAAACCCAGAAGTAAAAAATTGAGAATTGAGGGGTTGTAAACTTGTAATCAGATTCAGAAGAGAAAGTTGAGTTTAGGTTTGGTGGTACCTTAGGGTTGCAGTAGGTTACATTTTAAATGGATAAATGACACATTTGGTCACTGAGATTACTAAATCGTGTCATATTTGGTCACTAGAAAAATTTAATATCAATTTTGGTCACTCGAATTACTTACATAGGTCACATTTGGTCACTCTTCTGTAGCCTCTGTCCAACTCCGGTCACTCGAATTATTGAAAAATGACACATTTAGTCACTCGGATTACTGAAACATGTCACATTTAGTCACTCTCCCAAAAGTTTCCGTCCAACTACATTAATGGAGTTGGACGAAAACTGACGGGAGAGTGACTAAATTTGACCAGTTTCGGTAATTCGAGTGACCAAAATTGATATTAATTTTTTCTAGTGACTATACATGGTACAATTTAGTAATCTCAGTGACCAAATGTGTCATTTACCCATTTTTTAATTGATTATCAATATTTTTTAAAATCTTATTAATAAATAATTAAAGTTATAATAATAATAAAGATAATAAAAATTGTTGGCACTAATACTCTGCTTATTATGGCTTATTAGAAGGATTATGCCTTCGTTTCAACAAAGCACCAATAAGGCCGACCATTTTTTGTAGTGGTAGCTTATTGATCTTTAGTGCTTAACTGCTTATGCATCATATTTTACCTATGCATGTTTCAACTTTCAAGAGAATAATAATGGTTTACCTAGGTAGATATTGGTTATTGTTTTCCACCAAGGGTTTTAGGGTTCTCTTTTATTGGCTTTCATAGACATTTATGTTTTAAATGTGATAGGTAATAATTTTGTTTCATTTGAGTTTTAATTAAGATTATCAATCTTATCTTCGGAATAAATATTAATTTTCCGCATAGCACACTGTACTATTGAACATATCGGCTTTTTCAAGTGCTAGACTGCTAGTTCTCTTATTGTTGGAAATTCTAAGTTTGTACTAATTTATGTGAAAGCTAAATGGTTTGCTATATTAGGGGTACTAGACATTAGCACATTTGCTCGTGGGTGAGAGAAACAAATGCATGTTACTTCAATTAATATGAAAGAATTGAAAAAACTTAACAAAACAATGGAGTGGAAAGTGTAAGAATGAAGGGAAGAAACAAAATGAAACTACATCTCTTCTTTGTTCTTTCTCGAAGAGTTTTGATTTAATTGGTGTTTAACTCATAATTTTTTTCTAACTACTTGTATTTATTCATTTATTATCCGGTATATTCCGATATATCCGGTATTACTCCGAGACGATACTCTAATTTTGGCAGCACGGTTTTTTGACAAAAAATATATTTTATTATTACAAAAACGGTATTTACCGGTATGAAACGGTTGAACCACGGTCGTACCACAAAATACCCTACCAGAAAGGAATCCGATATGATGTCCGGTACGGTTTCCTTTACCATGGTTTTGAGGTAGAAGAATAACGACTAGGAATGTCAATTCAACCCGTAACTATGGGTACCTTACCCGATCGTAACCGGTCAATGAGGGCAATTACCCGCTTTGACGGGTTAAGGGGCGGGTACGGGTAATACCCGGTTTCAAAATAAAGGGTAGGCTACGGGTATGGTAATCGATAATACCCGCCCCGCTAACCAAATGGTCAATTTCCCTTGAGAAATTTAGATTAGCTTGAGAAATTGAGTTTAGCTACCATTATTGATGATGAAGATGTAGACGATTATTATGTTTGTGTGGATTGTAGAAGCAAGAACAATTATTATGTGTTTGCTATTTTTATTTGTGTGGATTGTTGAAGCTAGAACAGTTACAAGTATTGAGAATTTTTAATGGACAACAGTATGTACGTGCATATATGTGTATAAGTTCATAGTTTAGGATTCGTACCCATGGTTACCTGAATACCCGTGGTTACCCGGTGGGTAGGGTATGATTATTTAATTTTCATACCCAATGGTTATTTGATCGGGTATTTTAGAAGGCTCTACCCGGCGGGTTAGGAGTTGTTATAGGGTAAACCTGCACCCGACTCTACCCATTGCCATCCCTAATAACGACTCTGTTTGGGCTTTTTTCACCCGAAAGCCCAAATTGATTTGTCAAATCCATCAATCCCCATGGTTATGGATACCCATCTTCAAGCCCGTTAAGAAAGGTTCAACACCCAGCAATTGACTAGCCTCCCAAACCGGTGCCGGCAATAGGTAAGGCAAGCGTCGGTATTGGAAGTGGAAATTCGGGATCTTAAGGATGGATTTGGGTTATGGTAAGATGAAAGTATCTTCATTAGTTCTTACTCCTTTCAGCAAACAATAATTTTCTGTAAAATATCGTAATGTGGAAGGAGACAACACAACGATTTAACGTGGTTTCCCCGTTAGATGTGAACGAGAGACTACTCCACGGAGAGCCAAAGCTCTCAGTTGTTCTCTTATTATTGCCACACACCAGTGATTGTGGTCTCCTAAAGAAAGGAAAAAATGAGGCCCTCCTAATATACCCGTCACGTATGAACTAGGGTAATTAGGCTAATATGGCAAATTAACAAAACAGTCATTGCAAATAAAAGGATGTACAAATATAGCTCAACCCTCCCCCTCAAGCTGGAACATGAAGATCTCGAATGCCAAACTTGGACAAAAGAAAATGGAACTGCTCCGCGCCCAATGCCTTAGTGAACAAGTCGGCTATCTAGGAGGAGGTGCTAATCTTATGTTGTGCAATCTTGTGAGAGAGGACTTGTTCGCGGATGAAATAGCAATCCATCTCAACATGCTTTGTTCGTTCATGGAAGACCGGATTGGCAACAATGTGGAGAGTTGCTTGGTTGTCGGAATGAAGAGGCGTCGGGTGATTTTGACGCACATCAAGCTCTACAAGTAAGAAGCACAACCACAGAACTTCACTGACAGTATTGTCCATAACTCTATACTCAGCTTCAGCAGAAGATCGCGAAACCACCTTTTGCTTCTTTGTCCGCCAAGAGACAGGAGCTCCACCGAGCACCACATAATAACCTGTCATAGACCGTCTCATCGTTTGGCAGCCGCCCCAATCAGCATCGCAGTATGCTGTGACCTCAAGAGACCTAGCGGTCGGGAAGAACAATCCCTGACCAGGAGAAGTCTTCAAGTAGCACAAGACTCGCATGGTTGCATTCATGTGCTCTGGACTGGGACGACGAACAAATTGTGAGAGAATGTTGACTGCATATGAAATATCAGGACGAGTTACTGTCAAATAAAGCAATCGGCCCACAAGATAACGATAAGCACGAATATCGTCAATCACGTCATGATGAGGTCATCAAGACCAAGCCCGGTACACCACATGAATTTCCAGTTACACGTTTACAAGCTAAGAGGCTAAGAGAAGAGTTTGCTCATTATTTGGATCGTCACTTTGAGCATATGGACGTGGATCAGCACATTGGGAAGCCCATCATGGTGTTACAATTCGTTGAAGGAGATTGGAAGGGCTTTGATGAAGAAGGTGGCGGCAAAGAGAAGAAGAATGGGCTTTTGAGGGTTTCTTAGCCCAAAAGGGAGACCATTTCCTTAATCTAGAAGGAATGAAGCTCATGCACCGAGTGCCCACTTGGAAGGGCTTTGATGAAGAAGGTAGTGGCCAAGAGAAGAAGAATGGGCTTTTGAGGGTATCTTAGCCCAAAAGGGAGACCATTTCCTTAATCTAGAAGGAATGAACGTGTGAAAAGGATCGAAAGTGTGAATGGAAGATAGGGGGCGAATTTTAAGGCATTTATTAAGGGGTTGAATGGGTCAAAGTATGTTTTCCTTTTACTTGTAGGATTTGGGTTTTTGTTTTCCTTTCTTTGACTGTTTTGGACTTGTTTTAGATAGCATATAAATAGGGACGAGTTCTAGCTTGTAATTCATCAACTTTTCAAGCAACCAACTTTCAACTTTCGAGTTCATACGAACTAGTTTCATTGTGCAAGCTTCAGTCGAGAGTCTCCAGGAGTTTCACGTGCCTCTTATCAACTAGAGATCGCGTCTAGTTGTGGCGGGCTTCTACCAAATAGCGATTGGCCTTATTCACGAGTGGGTGATTGTTTGATTGGTTTTATATACCAATTGGCCTTTCACATGAGTTGGAATATGTTTGATCGTGTTCCACCTTTATCTTTGTTCTAGTTTCGTTTTAGTTGAAGAAAAGCTTCAAAAATCCCATAAAAAGAAGGAAGGTTGCGTACTTTGGTCGCATCAAGTGGTATCAAGAGCCAGGTTCAAACGCAGCGGAGAAGAAGAGGTTTCTTGAAGTTCTTGATGTGTTCTTGAAGTAATCTTGAAGAGTTCTTGTTGGCTTTCAACGTAAGAAACATTATCTTGTGCCGCAAGGATGGATGACTCACTGAAGGCCGTGATAGCACAATTGGAGGCGATTCAACAAATCCTAGCAACAAAAGTTGCCAACGTTGATGCAAGGTTTGCGACTGTCGAAGCAAGGTTTCCCACCAAACCCTAATGTCGAGAGTCCTAGGAGAGAAGAAGAGCGAGGTGAAAGGAGGCTTGTGCAGCGGCCTTTGTATGAGCATGTTCGACGACATCGCCCTTTGGGAGGACAACATGCAAGACGAGGCCAACATCGAGTGATTGACGAGGAGGTCGAGTACGAGGATGAAGAGGTTGAACCTCGAGATGAAGATGATGATTTGAAGAACATCAAGGTCAACATTCCATCGTTTCGAGGTTCTACTAATCCCGAGGCTTGCCTAGATTGGGAACGAAAGATGGAATTGATCTTCGACTACAACAACTACTCCGAAAGGAAGAAAGTGCAAGTGGCAGCCCTCGAGTTTACGCACTATGCGATCGTATGGTGGGATCAAGTC